AGGGGGGGGGGGTCCAAAATTTGAAATTATGCGAGCCAAATATTGGTACGTAATGGTGACCAGCAGTGACGTAATGCGGGGGGGGGGGGGTGCAGGGAGGGGCGAGTTTCCCCCTCCCTCCTTCGGAAGCTTTGACGTTGCATTAAATTATTAGAGAAAGAAGACGATTCGTTGTACAGTTCTAAAAAAAAATCCTCGTCTGAATTCAGTTTTTCCCCTCCAAGCAAAGCGCTGAAGCTTTTACGATTCATTAAATCATTAGAGAAGGAAGACGATTCATTATACAGTTCTCGACTCTTAATCCTTGTCTGAATTTCAAAGATGTTCTTTGATTACTCCTTTTTCTTTCCTCTCTTTTTTTTTGGGGGGGGGGGGGGCAGTGACTTTTGGGGGACCGCACCCGCCCCCTGGCTACGGGCCTGCATTCAGATAAACACATTTTGATACCTTGTCCGACCCCGGAAGCTCAGGGGTTTAAGGCAATAAATTATGGTCAGATAAGCATTCAGGGGCCCGCCTTAGGGCCCTAGGTGGAATCCAGGGGGCAGAGCCCCCGGAAGCTTAGGGGTTTTAGGCATTTAATCACGGTCAGATGAGCAATTTTGATGCCTCATTATTTGTTGACACTGGCAGTTAACTATTCTTTCTTTCTTGCTCTTTCTTTTTTTATTTCTCTTTAATATACTTTTTTTCTAAAGTGGGGGGGGGGGGGGAGGGGGGGGGGGGGAGCTCGAGGCTCCCGATCCCCGCCGTTCCTCGGGCCCTGACATGTAGGAATCTCAAGAATCATATTTCTTGCCTGGTTGTAAATTTAGGAATTTGTTATTTTCCACCAAACGCATACAAAAGTGAGGAAAAATCTCGGAAATATGTCATTTCAGCATTATTTTTTATCCACCTTTGGAATAAAAAAATAAACCACGTTTGAATCCCTTTTCTTTTCTTCTTCCTCTTCTTTCTTTCCCTTTCTCTCCTCTTTCCCTTCCCTTTCCTTCTTTCCTTTCTTCTCTTTTTTTTTTCGTGGGGGGGGGGGGGGGGCAAGGCCTTTTGATTGAATTAATAGGTGGTCGTTTAATATTAGTGTGCTAAATAACCTGATAACTTTACCTGCATGGGACTTTCTGCGTCATCTTGCAAATATAAGAGATGTTGTTATGTCCTCCTTCCAGCTCTTCAGTTTCAATCTTTTGGAACAAAAAGAAAAAAAAATCAATACGACAATGAAGGAATCCCTTTCTCCTTAACAAAATAAAATAGATCAAGCATAATACAAATTAATAGCTATTTTTTATGTCATGGTTGCCCTTAATTTTAATATGGTGTGGAAATCACATTCCTATTTAATGAACCACAGTACAAAGTAAAAATAAATGGAAGATATTTAACTTGTGCTCGAACAGTGGTATCTATGGCCTATAGTATGAACATGAAGTAGTACTTTATAACAAGAGGGGGACTACATACCATATAAGAAAACATAATTGTCGACTAGCCTAGGGGTCTTCTCTTATACAACGTCCAACAAAAATAGATTTATCAAATGAACTGCACACTTTGGAGAAAAAAATCTTGAATAGGTCTAGTTCTATACGAGTTATGACAACTTGACAAGCACGCGCTGGACACACACAGCATCTAATTAACATTAAATAAATGAATCCTAGACTACTTTTGTTTGTTTTCTTTGAATATTTTTATTAATAAGTTCCAGGTTTACATCTAAATGAAATATGGTTTGGAGTCGTTTGATTATCCATGGTCACAAACAATTTTGGTCTAAAAGTTAACACGCACCAATGATGCAACTGAGCGAAATATGGCACTGAGTATAGACCCTAGAGGTCTATAGCCAATTACAGAGTCCACATCTACTAAAGATATAAACAAGAATTAATCCTCTTGGATTATTAAAAGAATTCATACTTCATAGATTATTTTAAGGTGTAACGTTAAATCTAGATTTAAATTCAATCGATGATTGTTGAATTATATTCACGATGACGATCAAATTGGAATAAAACCTGATTAGAAAGTGTTATCTTGATGCAATTGAGCACCGAAATTCCCCGGGGTGGGCCTGCCGGAACCCCTGGGCTCTAACTGGAGTACTAAGGTGACATGACGGCAAACCGCAGTCAAACTACTTCACGACGATGAAAATCAAAGTGCAATTTCGAGAGAAATATTTTCCTAGCCTTTTCCCAAAAATCTGTTGAGAACAGTCTCAAAATGTAAAGAAATTACCGTAAATCACGAGTTACAGCTTTATTAAAATTAATTACTAAATTCACTCAATCAATTACTCACCCATTCTCCATTCTCCGTGAACTAAATCTTCTCACTTTGTGCGAGTAGCGTCGTGCATGAATCAGCTGCGATTGCGACCTCAACAACATGCACAGCATGCATATTTCCCACCTCGATAACATGAATATTCAAGATATCGAGACTTTCCCCGACCCTGCGTAATGAATATTCATGAAATAATAGGAATCCGGGCTCGCCGTGGTACGAAAAAATAAGACACGAGCGGGGCGAACGTAACAGTTTCAATATCGATTATACCATGAACCGTTTACAACAGTAGATGGCGCTAGTATACAACAACATGAGCTGGTTTAAATACAGACAGCTTGGAACTAATAATTGATTTATTAATTACTGTTTAATTCACTAAAAAAAACAAAAAACTATTTCAGCGGTGGAGATTGGTTAAAGATATTCCTATAGCATCTTGTTATAACATCAAAGAGTTTCAGATGAATCAGGGACGTGATAGAGAAGGACAGGAATCAAGCCGCTCTCCTTTGACCCCATGCTCCAAGCCGCCGAAAAGTTATGCGCTAATCTGCAACTGTTGACCAGGTGGTGAGATAAAAGAGCGCATGAAATTTCAGGATTTAGAATTCCTACATCAGAAAATGGTATCACTGCAACTGTTCGCTGTCCCTTCCAATGATTTCTCATCCATTGTTGAATGTGTAAAGAGTAGAACAAGCGAACTCAAATTTGTGTACTTTCATCCTTTTTTAAACTTGAAAAATACAAAAAACACGCGAAAACACGCATTAGCAAACTTAATGTTATTGAAGATTGTAAATCATGGATCAAATAACGGGACATTAAAGCATGCACAAATTAGCGCATCATCCTAAAATATTGAGTTTTGACAGGATGTAATTTTTCTTTTAACAACTCTGGCACACAAATTAAAGTAAGGACGGAGTTCTAAATTTGAAAATTTGTTTGATGCACTATTCCCAATAAAATCCCCATATAAAGTTTTTGATTTACACTGAAATTTTGCCGGTAATTTGATATTTTGTAATAAATTTAAAACTGGTGCCTGGCTTCCGAAATTCCCCGCAGTGGAAGCGCGGTTCGGAGCATGGAACTTCAAAGCCAAGTGGAATGTTACACATCCCATTGTTACGCTTTAGAACTCAAGAATGCGTTTGAATAAATTACAAGAGTTTCGCCTCCTTTTCTTTCACCTCCCTGGATGAATTAAATATTTTTACCAACACTTTGTAATCATAAAAATTGCAATTTGCGAACTACACATTTGATCCACCTTTAAAATACTAAACTGTTGAAATAAAGGGTTGTGTGGGCAAGAGGTGAATTGCAAATAACTCGTATTGCATACTTCTGGAGTACTCCAATTCTATTTCTAAGATACATTGCACTGTTCCCCCATACAATATTGCAATATGATAAATAAGGTAAAATCATTGTGTAATACAGGGTTAAAAGAATCCTCATTGGAACAACAGTTTTTAACTAGGGCTGCAACGTGTAGTCGAATGCTCGAGTACCCGCACAGTTGAGAACTACTCGGGTACGATTTTTAGTACCCGAATATTCGGCCGCAAAAAAAAAAAAAAAAAAAAAAATCTGTCCAGGCTGACGCTTACCCGTGACTGGGTGAGCGGCGGCCGCTGGCATGGTGCCGTCGGTAAAAATGCTTCCCAACTCAAGCACTGTCAAACTCACCACTCAGAAACTGGGACCAAATGTCTGGATTTCTGTTTGGACTTGGAGGAAAATGGATTATTCTGCCATCTTTGGTTTTTAAAACACCATTGTTTACTGTTATTATTATTATTAAATCGGCGCCTTCAACTGCAACTCAAAGTAAAATTGCATGCGTTTTCGGCGACGTGAGAAACTGCCCCAGTGGTATGGTGGTGGCAAAAAAAAAAAAAAAATCAAAAAAATTCAAAAAAAATCAAAAAAATTATAAAAAAACATGGCGTCCGATTACTCAAGTATTCGCTTGTAAGCCTGGGAGTGTACTCGGGTACCTCATTACACTGTTGTGCACAGCCTTATTTTTAACCTATTCATTTCCCCTACGGCTTGAGAAATTTTTGAACAAACGTTATCAATATGTAATTTCTATGTTATTTTATCATCAATTGTAACTCCTAAAATTTTTGTTTGTTTAACTTGTTGTATTAAGCAATCTCCAATAAATATTTGTATTAAGTCTTCATTAACGAACTTATTCTTAGGGCTACCAGCGTTTGCCGCATATTGTTTAAAGTTTTGCTAACTTCATTTTGTTTAAAGTGTGGTATTTGATGTAAAATGTTATTTAAGTTGGTGCTAGAATTTCTAGCACCCTTTATGACCACAAATTGAGAGTATTGTCTTTACCTTAGCTGTTGGTGAGGTGTCGTGATTCTTACCTTTTTACCATAATCTGAATCTTCTCCCCCTCTCCCCTCCTCCTCCTCCCCCTCCCCCTCCCTCCCGCCCCCTTTTCCATCTCTCTCTCTCAACTCTCTCTATCAACTCTCCTCCTCTGTCTGTCTGTCTCTCTCCCTCTCCTTCCCTGTCCTTCCCCCTCCTTCCCCTTTCTCTTCCTTCCCCCTTTCTCTCTCACTCTTCTCTCTCTCTCTCTCTCTCTCTCTCTTTCTCCCTTCCCCTACTCTCCTCCCTCTCTCTTACTCTCCCTCTCCTTCCTCCCCCTTCTCACTCTCACTCACTCGTTTCTCTTTTCTCTCTTTATCAAGTTGAGGCCAAGCTGCAGAGGGAGAAACAGCTGAAGGTGGAAAAAGCTAAGGTCATTGAGGTCAAGGTCAACATGTCGATTGAGGAAAGAACAACTAAGGAGCAGGAATCGAGAAAAGCCAACTGGAGGCTAGAGAAGACAAAGAAACAACTTGAAGCAGAAGAGAAGAGGGGAGTCCAGGAGAAAGCAAAGGTGAGTGTTAAAGGGGAAGTCCACCCTGATATTAAGTTGCTTTTAATAAAAGCAGGAAAATGAGAGAAACAGGTCAGTGAAAGTTTGAGCAAAAACCGACTAGAAATAAGAAAGTTATATATTTTCAAAGTTGTCATCATTGAAACACAAATTGGCAACACTGACATATCTTGCAAACTCCTCTCCAATTTTATAAACTTTAGTTTTCTTACTGATTGGTTAGGGAAAATATGATTCATACAGGGGTTGTATAAAAACATCTTTGAAATAATTGTATCCCCCGGCAGTATGCCGGTGGGGTACTTTGGATTCAGCAGCGTTACGCCACCGCGTCATATTATTTTATTCTTGAGCGCGCTCTAACTGCATCATTCCTTGACGGATTTCTTTCAAATTGTGTATGGAGGTGTATCTTGGTATAATCTACACACCTATAACTTTTGGTGATGCTGCCCCCAGTGTTCCATCTTTTACAGGGTAAAAGACCATATTTTATTCTTGTGTGCGCTCTAACTGCATCATTCCTTGACGGATTTCTTTCAAATTTTGTATCGAGGTGTATCTTTGGATAATCTACACACCTATAACTTTTGGTGATGCTGCCCCCAGTGTTCCGTCTTCTATAGGTTAAAAGGTAACCCTGTAAGTTGGGGCTCTGATCGGATCGAAAGATCGGAGTGACACCCTCGCACCTATGATCGTTATCGGATCAGAAGATCGACAAAAAAATCGGCTGATTTTTTTAAATTTTTTTTTAATGACGAAAATTGTCATGTTTTGGGCTATCAAATGCTTAAAAAAATTCATGGCTGGGATTATTTTGTCATTAAGAGTTGTTGTAGACCATGTTTGTTGATATTTATTGCCTTTTCATGACTTTGAAATGCATAATGTTGGTCTAAGAGCAGAGGCAAAACATGCGGGCAAATTTTCAACAAAGATGTATCTTGGTATAATCTACAAGCATATAGATTTTGGTGATGCTGCCCCCAGTTTTCCGTCTTGTACATGTATAGGGTCAAGAGTTCATATTTTGGTGGGTGTCTAGTTTGCGCTCTGCAGATCATATTTCATGATCTTTCAAATTTTGTATAGAGAATTAGAAATGTATCTTGTTACCAATCGACACTTCGGGTGAAGCTGCCCTCATTGTTCCGTCTTTTATATGGTCAAAGGTCAAATATGTCTTTAATGTGCTCTAACTGCCACATTTTTTGACAGATTTCTTTCAAATGTTGTATGGAGGTGTGTCTTAGTACAATCATCTACACCTTTTTAGTGTTTGGTGATGTTTTGATGAGCTGCCCGAAAATGACGAGCTGGCAGTCAAGGACAACCAAATTACTTTTGTTTTATGTGTTTTGTGTTTAACTTGTTTAATTATCATTATCATGTGATTTTTGCAGAGTTTGCAAATGCAAATTTGATTGCTCCATAATCCATATGTATAATTTTATTGTGGATAATGGGAGCATGGGTTTGTGAAGTAAGTATAGAATAAGACCACTTCCCGTAGGCAATTTCTATGGCTAACAGGGCTCTCTTAAAGAGAAGGTTGAGTTCTGGGAACAGGTGAACAATAATTTGTGAGCATTAGACGAGGACAATAATATGGGTCCAACTCATTCGCAATTTAATTTGAATTTGATTACTGAGGATTTTGTATTGAAACAGATTGATAATCTGAGTATAGATAAAGCAACTGGTGAAGATCACATCAGCTGTAAACTTTAAAGATGACGAAGAATGATAAATAAATAAATAAATAAATAAATAAATTATCACTGTTATTATACATGTCTGTAGAACATCAGATAACAAATGTTTCCTGAAAAGCATGGCTCTTCAAATGCCTTAATATTCTAAATATTTCATGTAACAGCATAAAAATCGGGATTTTTACGCCAAATGTTCATGTAGTCCCATATACAGGCTTTAAATTTCAACATTTTTAGGGCAAGGCCACTTTTCTGCAGGGCACATTCCTATATTACAGCACAAATAAGAAGAATTGGAAAGGGCACAAAAAATCATTGAGGCCAATCAAAGGGGCATCCATGGCCTTGGTGGCCTTGGATTAATTTAAGCCCTGCATATACATATTTCTGTGTATAGTGCTTGTAACTTTACCAAGACTGGTCCACATTTGTTATCATTTTGATGATTCCAGAACCTTGCAGTTCACACCTTTTCTGATCGATTTCTCACCGTTTCTTTCAAATGCAATCGCATGACCAGAAATCAACTTTATCTTTAGCCCTATCTAGCCTGGGGGGGGGGGGGGGGGGGGGGTCTTCAGAAGCCCCCGCCCTACATTTTTCCTGATACATTTTTAACGCAAAAGAATCTTGCGCTGAAATGTATAACTTTTTTCTTTCAAGTCTGGCGCATCTTTTGAAATATATTTTTCAAAAAACAGACAAAGTCACATGACCTTTTGTCTGTGCATGTCAGCCCAAATCACTCATTTTTGTGATTTGTGTACAAAACATATGGAAATCTCATTTTTCCAAAAAAGAGATAAAACATTGGTTATTTGGTCTTGTTTATACTTATTTGGGGGTCAAATTAGTTGAATTATAGTTAGAAATGAAATAAAACAACAAAATACATAAGTTAAAAAACAAAGAAATACATGAGAAATTATCAGAACAATAGATAACATAAGGAATAACCTGGCTCTTTTTTGTCTCGCCTGCGTAGCAAAAAAGCGAGACATTTAAGCGCCGCTTTTCCAGCGACGGCGACGGCGACGGCTGAAGTACAAGTCCTTAGTCAATGAAACTTGGACTTTAGGGTTATCAAGTATCCCTAATCATGTGAGTTGAGGTCAAAGGTCATTTTAGGTCAACAAACTTAGACTTTTTTGTGTTATGAACATCAAGATTTTGAATTTTTAGCATATTTCCAACTGTGTTTGTTCAAATTCCATGAAAGTTGTACCCAAGGGTTATCAAGTATCACAAGTCATATGACACAAATTCCAGGTCACAAGGTCAAAGGTCATTTTAGGTCAGTAGCCTTGGATTATGTTTTCAAAACTTAATATGAGAATAAATGAATCAATTTTTGTTATTTGTTCATGATTCTTAATCAATATTCACTTCAAAATGCTGATTATATTCAGAGGATTTCATTTTTTGGGGCCTGCTAATGGGCCACCCTGCCTATAATAATGTTTCAACTTCAATTTTTCATCATAACAAATTGCGTAATGCAGGCGAGACCGCCGAGAGCGTTTCCCTTGTTTCAACTTAATGATGTTAGAAAGAATACTTTGAAAATTCAAATCGTGCTGCCTCTCAGCAAGTATACCACGCTAGAGGTCAATACGCATCAGCATGTTTTTTTATTACATTACTAAAACCGTCTCAAAGTCTCAAAAACAAAACAAAAAATACACATCTAGTGCATGAAAATAATGGTTAAACATTATATGCTGTAGCAACCATCTCAGCGGCCGGCTTCTTAGTAGTCACCTTCTTAAACAGAGTGAGAAATGCTCAAGATATATCGAGAGCTTTGATATTCTTTGATTTATCATATTCGAAAATTGCCATCGGGGGAGGATCAGGGGAGATCCATGCCAGCAGAAAACTACTAACATGGAACTGTGACAACAGGGCCAGATATACAGCATATACTTACCCCACAAATTTTAACCCCATTTTCCCCCCAACTGATGATCTGGCCCTGCATGTGAACATGGCGTCACATCCAGTACAAGTGCAGTCTCCTCCATATATACCTTACCAACAGATAAAGAGTTTTTAGGACAGTTAGTACAACTTATCCCCTCCTCACCAACATTTCTTGTGACTTATGCATAAACATGATGAGCTGATGAATAATCATTGCCTGAACAATTGATTTCCCACCATGCATCTTAATATATGCACAATCAGTGAAAGTTATAACAATCACTTTTCAACGTGTGATTAGATAAAAGACTTTTCAGCTGTTCCTCTATTTAAATACTCAAAGAATGATACTGGCAAGACTTGGGCATGCATGATTTGGTAATGGCATTTAAATGTCTTGGAGTATACACAATAGAGCAAGGTGTTTCATTGTTATGGAAATCCTCTTTCCATGTACAGTATGTGATTATTTGCTTTCTTTGCTTTCTTTGCTTTCTTGCTTTCCTGTATTAAAGCTCTTCTGTAAGCTCTTCTGTAAGCTCTTCTCTCTCTTCTGGATATTCTAACTATTTCCTTTGATAAATACATCTTTGATTGTTGCCTGCAACACAAGTCAGTGTGAAGTTCACACGTGTTATCAATGCTCTCTTCATCAATAAATAGATTCCATGGAATAAATTCAATCGTTTTCTGTAAATCTACGACTATGAATATGACGGACAAAGAAAGCGGACAAAATATACAGTTCCTCAGGTAGACAAAGGAATATGCATGTGACACCAGTTCTACATATTTTTACATAATAGCAGTGAAGGGATGTTCCTTTGTCTACCTGAAGAACTGTATATTTTGTCCGCTTTCTTTGTCAGTCATATTCATAGTGTACGCTATCTGCTTTGTGAAATTGATGGAAAACCCTAGGAAGTAACTGTGGCACACGACTACAGTCTAATTCAAATGGAACCGAGTTATGAATATGGAAACCAGGGAATAATTTTCCTCAAATTTTTTGATTAGCAATTTCAGCCGATGGATAAATATTTCAAATGAAATTCTGTACATTTCTATGGAAGAAAACTGCTACACAAAAGATATTTTGTATAGCAGTCATGCAAAAATGCATAGCAAATTGCGATGCGATACCAGGAAAATTATTCCCTGGAAACCACTGCATAAAATAATGGATTTGAAAGAAGAAATATGTGGGTGATAAGAACAAAGGACTTATTTAGTCCATCACGGAAGGTAGCATTAGATGATGGGGGACGATAGCATACACCCAAAAAGAGCTTGCCTTTATTTCGTGGTAAACTAAATTGAATCCATAACAACTCGCAGCTGGGAATCTCAAACTCGGAG